CAGCATCTGGGGTATCTTAAAAAACAAGGTTTCCCACCAGTTTGGAGTCACTGAAGGCAAAACTCTTGAAGGAATGAGATGAAATCCCTAAAGTTCTATCTATATCTTACTGGAGTGATTACCAAACTTTTCAGTTAGTTATTGATACAGAAAAGTATCATAATGAATAGCTAGTATAATAAATAAGTTTGTGGGTATTTAGTTTTTGTTTTCACTTTGCAAAATATTTATAAATTGTTTTGTTTAATAAAACATCTTGTAAAGCTAATTACATCGGGCAACAAAAAGACATTTTTTTAAATTTATCTGTATTTTTCAAAATGATTTAGGGCACTTTTTCATCACTGAAATCGAAAAGAACATTTGTTTCTCTCAATCAGGTCATGTTTTTGTGCTATGTTGAATGTTTAAAAATCCGATCTTATGACTAAATCGATTACATTTTTGTGACATTATCGATTGAATTTTGTTAATATTTCTCATGGAAAATAAACATCGATTACAATAAATTGAATAGTATGCATTAATAAATGTAAGTACATGTCAATTGCATGTTACGTCATCATAGTTTAATATTCAGGCCTTGAAATTCCATTTATTCAAATCTTTAAAATGATCAACGGCAGGGGTATCTCTCTTGAAAGTCCGGCAGTAATCAGCCATCATGACTGCATCCCAGCGTCCCCTGATACCGGGTCTCCATCTCTTTCATATGCCGATTGAATCTCTCCCTTCTTTTGTCCTAATTGATCCCATATTTTCCGGAAACCGATCCATATGTGAGAGTAAATAATGCATTTTGATGATCATGTTGCATTTGAGGTTTCTGAAAGCAGTCAGCATTTTGATGACAAGTTCTGTGGAGTTTCTGGGCTTGTTATTTCAAAGAAAGTTCTTCAGGAACAAAACAAAAGCCTTCCATGCTTCCATTTCCACTTCGCATATTGAGTTTTCAAACTCTGGATATCTGATGAGCTGACGGATTTGAGGACCCTCAACGATGACAGCTTCCAATTTCTCCATCGTCAATCCTGGAAAAGCCTGACACAAGTAAGTGAAGCAACCATCATCTTATTACGTGTTATTTGTTTATAAATATTTTGGAGGCGTGTTTTAATATTTTATGAAGATATATTTGGCTGAAAATATTTCTGATGGGTTAAAATTAATGAGTTTATAATTAACATAATAATTAGATTCATTGTGTGGTATATGTTGCACATTTAGTTATTTTAATGGACATGACAACAGAAACAAAAATCTAAAAAAAAAACATGTAGCCATAACTCAAAAGTTGATTGAATTGAGCAAAACCAATGTGATTTTGGGATTCAGCACATCAAAATTGCCCTAAATCAGCTAAAAATATTTATACAATAAATTTGATGTTAATCAGTGTTATTGAACACCCTGGACATATAAAGGTTTTGTTCCCCCCGCCTTTCTGCCTCTCTATCTCTTTTTCTTACCACTTCTTTTCCTCCTTCCACTTCCGGTGCAGGTAACATTATAAATAAGTCTTTTGAAACGAAACACAGACTTGCTGCTTGACGAAACCATCTTGGTAGTAACCATGGTAGCATGAAGGCCAGTGTTTCGGATATTTTATATCCTATATTTTATATCGTATATATATATATATATATATATATATATATATATTCGTCCTGGGTAAGATGTTAAACTACATCCGCATCCTGGGTAAGACAATAAAAGATGTCCAGCAGCAAGGTTGATATCTTAATTGCTGGTGTTCCCAGGTACACCCTGACCCGGAGTGGTAGCACTTGTTAGGCTCCCAGCTATAGGCAAATAGTTAACTATTACTACCAATACTTTTTGGAGAAAAATTATTACCAGCAATACAATTTTTAAGGAAAGATATTACCAGAAACAGATTTTTGACATAACAAAATATTACCAGCAATAAAAAATTTTGTCGGCATTAAATAAGGCATTTGGGTTGATATGCCGTAAAAACAAAATAAACCAAACAAAACATTATATATATATATATATATATATATATATATATATATATATATATATATATGAAGAGTAATAGTATTTAAAATAATAAATTAGAGTTAAAAACTTGGAGGAATTGGTATGTTGAAGTGAAGGAAAAAGATTGTGAATTGATAACTAAAAAAACACAGCGATTGGGACAATGGCAGATCGATAGGTAGTGATAGAGATAGATAGAGGGACATGAGGAAGATGGAGAGCAAAAACAAAACTGGGGTGAGTAAGGATGAAAGAGAGAAACAGACAATTGATGAGATAGAGAGAGAGTGAAAGGGAAAAAAACGCAAAGCAAAATATGAGAGAGTAGGAGAAGCGAAGAAAGTAGAAGGGTGAGGGGGAAAAATAGAGAGATATAGAGAGATAGAGGGGGAATAAATAGAGAGAGATAGAGAAAAGATGACAGAGGTGACGAAAGCAAAAAGAAAATTGAAGAAACGAATGAGAACGACAGTATGGGAGGGAGAGAGAACATACAAGAGATTAAGAGAAAGAAAATAGAGAGAGGCAGAGAGAAAAAGAAATATATCCATATCTATATATATATATATATATATATATATATATATATATATATGAAGAAATATAGTCTTAAGGTGTGCTATATTTATGGGATAAAGCGCTCAATATCAGAGATAGAGCGTTTGTAAATATAAAAGTGAACATAGAAGTCTACACTTGGTCATATATATATATATATATATATATATATGTGTGTGTGTGTGTGTGTGTATATATATATATATATATATATATATATATATATATATATATATATATATATATATACATATATATATATATATATATACATATATATATATATATACATATATATTTAATCTATTATTTATTCTGCAACTTATGTCCTAATAGTGGATATATTGGTGAGTCTGGAAACAATTTTAGATTTCGTTTTAATAACCATAAACAAACAATACGTCAAAACAACCCTTATTCCCCCATAGCTAAACACTACAATCAATCAGGACACACATTAGAAAACTGCAAATGTTTATTAATAGATTCCGATTTTACTTCCACATTCACACGCAGAAAAAAAAAACATATTGGATTTTAAAATTAAATACACATAAATTAGGGTTGAATAGGGACTTAGGTGTTTTAAATCTTTATAAATATTTCAATAGCTAAGCAATTTCTTTAGATATAGCAAAAAATATTTTTAAAATATTTATGACAGTTAGATTTAAGTTAGGAATATCTGAACAGTGACGTTCCATATCACGTGACGTCCGCGTCTCTCGAAGGACGCTACTTGCCAACAAACAGTAATTTTAATTTATTTGTAACAAACAGTTATTTCTGATGAAAAATTGAGGACAATTTGAAATATCAAATATATATATAAAATAAATAAATACTTTCATAAAATAAAACATTATAATTTTTAATTTGAAACTTTTTCTCTATATATATATATATATATATATATATATATATATATATAGAGAGAGAGATAGAGAGAGAGAAAAAAAGATATATATAAATAGAGAGGAGACAAAGTCAAAGAGAAACAGTAAGTGGAGAAAACTAGAAGAAAGAAAGAGAGAGAGAGAGTAAGAAGATAAAAACATTGATTCATGACAGAAAGAAACAGACAGATATAGGTAATAGGAGAAAGAAAAATAGATAAAATATGAGAGAAGGAAAGAAAGAGAAGGAGAGAGATAGATATGGAAAGGGAGATGTAATGAAGGAGAGGAACGTTGAAAAGTGAGAGCTGGCGGAGTTGAGAGGAAGAAATGAAGAAAAAACGTTTCTTTGCAGTACACAAGCTTTCTAAACGCTTCACCGTTACGTCTTAATTTCACGCAGGTGCCCATAGAAAGTCGTTGGAACACGCACACACCTGCCCGGTCTGGTAGTCCTTTCCTTACCCTATCCTTTTCATCACGTTTCTTTATCCTGCCACCACACCACTCAGTCCACGGGCAACGTACATCGTTGTAAACAGAAAAGGCAGAATATATTAGTTCAAATCGGCTGAATGTTTTCGGTCAATGACTCAGTATACGTTCGGGCTATTTTTGATCGGTGCATTCTGGAGTTTTAATCAGATGGTCGAGTCCACATCCAAGAACCTACAAGGGACTTCGGACAGAATAGTGTGTTTTTTTTATCGATCTACGAGAGCTTGCTAAATTGATCTTTGTCAAATCCTTCTTATAGCCTCGGAACTGCACTCAGAAATACTGTCTTTTCAATGCGCTATGTATTCCGTGAATAATAAAGTTGCGTTTATCGTAACGACAAGACACTTGCTCTCCGGCAAAGGTAAGTCAGTGTGATAATGTTAGCTTTAGCCTTTAAGATCTCATTTTCAGGTGTTTTTCTTCTTTTATACCGTGAGGAAGCCGTCAAATAATTATATAGTTTCTGCAATCGACTTTCTGTGCGTAATTTGCCATTCACTTTGTGGTTATCAGTGTTCTAAAAAATTAATACACACACCTGAATACTGCTAGTCTATTTTTAACTTGTTGTAAAAATGGCATGATATAATTCTAGATTACCCCAAACCGCATGTCAGACTGCGAGTAGAGTATTCACGGGAAATATGCACATAGCTAACGCGTATTGGTCCCTACTGAATCTGTCTGCCAAATAGGCGTAGTGCTATGCATTTGTATCCAGTTTATTATGTGCGGTTTTGCTGGAACGGCTCTGTGATCTTAACGAAGCAGGCAAATTTGAACAAAATATTTGTATCAAATTTTTCTTGCAGCTCGATATCTTGAAATGCGTCGCTATGCATTTGGCGAACTTTTTTTTATGTCGAAAACGGGTTTCTAAGTGGCGCAAGCGTTTAATTGCAGGTCAAGTGTCGGTTCAAGATGATGAGCATTCAGGGAGACCAATCACGAACAAAAGAATTTATGAACTTACCCGGTGTCGTCTCTGGATTTTATTGGTTTGTCAGCAATTCCTCAGTAGGGAACCTAACGCAGCATTACAAGCTGAATCGACGGCAGACAATTTTCTTTTTTTTTTACTCGTTTTATAACAAGGGGTACGGTGGGCTAAGTTTTTAGCCACCCTTGATTACAGCAATTTTGGCTTGTTTAATAACGTCTCTTCTTTTTTATCAGACAATACTGTGTTAATATCAAGCTACTCTCATCTAGGAATGATAGTTGACTTATATTTTGCAATGAAAGTTGGCGGAAGTAAGGAAATTGGCGAATTTCAACAAGGGCAAATAATAGGATGGCATCAAGTCAAGTAGAGAAATTGCTAGGTTTTTCCAGGTTAATCATAAAACGATTAATAAAATTGTCAAGAAACTTAATGAACAAAGCCATTGTCGCGTGGAACAACGTTCAGGAACACCAAGTATCGTGTCTGAGTGAAGGAAAAGGATGCTGAAGGGGGAAGTCATCAGAAGCCATCATCAGAGCGTCAAAGATGTCTCCAACATCATGGAAATGTAGCCATATGCATTAAGAAAGATTCTAAAAGAGCTAGTCTAATAAGAAGTGTTGCAAGAAAGAAGCCCTTCATTTCAGAGGTTAACAGGAACAGGCGTAATGACTGGGTGAGATAATCTGAGAGCAAAGATTATGAATTTTGACAGTCTGTAATTTGGTCAGATGAAAGTAATGTGGGGCCAAAGTTGGGACCACAGAAGGAAAACACTGAACAAGTATTAGATGTAAGAAAGATATATTAACAACGGGTTACAGAGATAGTGTAAGCAGAGCTTACTATATGTTAGTGTCCAACACTGGTAGTCGTACGAGACTTTCTCTGTGTCACTCTCTGTCTCTCTGTATGTCACTCTAGAGTGTTGTGTCGAATACTTAATATAGACCTGGAAGAGTCTATTGTTTAGGTAGTTCCGGTCTCACAATAGAAAGTAAATTCTGTCAATATTCAAGTTCGAGACAGGTTTATGTTTGGAGAAAACAGAATGAGACTTGGAACACTGAATGTTTGCATGTGACCATGAAACATGGAGGGATTGTAGTAATCGTATAGGGGCTGCTGTCTGGTTTGGAGGGAAATCGTTTGCGTTAGTTGAGATTAGATAATGTGTGTGTGTGTGTGAAAGAGAGATAGAGATAGAGAGATAGAGGGGGGAATAAATAGAGAGAGATAGAAAGAGAAAAGATGACCGAGGTGACGAAAGCAAAAAGAAAATTGAAGAACGAATGAGAACGACAGACAAGTATGGGCGGGAGGGAGAGAGAGAGAGAGAAAGAGAGAGAGAGAGAAAACATACAAGAGATTAAGAGAAAGAAAATAGAGGGATAGAGAGAGAGAGAGAGAAAGAAAATATGTATAGAGGGAGGAAACAAAGTCAAAGAGAAACAGTATGTGGAGAAAACTGGGAGAAAGAAAGAGAGAGAGAGAGAGAGAGAGACTATGAAACATGGAGGGATTGGAGTAATGGTGTCGGGGTGCTGTCTGGTTTGGAGAGAAATCTGAGCTGATTCTTGTTGACGAGCGGTTGAATGGTCCAAAATACTGTCAGATGTTAGAGAAAGGACTACCACTATTTGAAACTAATCAGATTGACAAGAATGTCTACCTTTTTCAGACGCTATGTCATACGAGCAATGTAGCAAAGGCCTGGAAGGAATCGCAAAGAATCAAGTCACTGTCATGTGTAACCCAAAATCCTGACACGAATCCAATAAAGCACATTTGTGAGTACCTTGACTAAAAACTTCGAGAGCCTACAACCAGAATCACGTCAGTGGCAACCCTTAAAGAAACATTGCTAAATGAGTGGCAAAATAGGAATCTGACGATTGTTGATAACTTGATCAAATCCATGAAAAATCAAATACAAACACTGAAGCTAGTAAATGGAGGATCTATTTCATACTACTTCCAAATACTGTTTATTTGAGTTGGGATTACGTAAATAAATATTGAAATTGGATGTAATTCATTTCTCCTGGCTAAAATCTTTTTCTTAGGCCACTGTACATTGTTGGAGAGAACGGTTCAGAGAGGGAAATAGAGTGAACGGATGTCAACAGGTATGTCAGCTATTCAATCTCTCACTACTGAAACCCCGGCACACACACACACACACACACACACACAAAAAAAAACTAAGACGGCAAAGCCCGGATGCATTTTCAGTAGTTTTCGTTTTTTTTATCTTTTTAAATTTAAACAAAAAGAATCCATCCCTGTCAGGATTTCACGCACACGGACTTGAAACAATCCAAACTTAGTTCGAGTTATAAAAGATCTGACCAGTGCCACAGGGTTTGTAATTTTGTCTAGACTTACGTAACGATCCATGAGGAACGTTTGGGATCAATTTTTCACTTCTCTCACACGTGTGGAATCAGGAAATCTGCAAATTGATTGGTCGGTTCTCTGTACACCTCAAGAAAGTACCTGACTCCTTCTTTTGCAAGAGTTAGATCAGACCCAGAAATAGAGTACTTCTGCCATATACGAGAGCCTCTTGATAGAGTCCAAAATTATCTA